AGTATGAAAATGAATTAATAAAAAAATCTACCTAACGAGCACATAGAGGATGGCCCGTTTGTCTGTTGTATATTAGTGATCGGCAAACGATTTCCTCCACCTGTTCAACACAAACAAATCGTCAACAATAATTCTATACAATTCACCAATCGTAAGAGCAATAACAACGAATAAGTATTACCTCTAAACAACAATCCACTGCTATTGAGACTGGATGGTCTGAGATCTTCATCTGAGCCAAGATCTAATGGAACACCGGAACTTAAATGGCCATCAACTGAATGTGATGTATACGGGTCGAATGCAACCTCAATATTCACTTCGTTATCAATCATTAAATTTGACAACAACGATGTGATAATGAAAAGAATTACCTGTGATATCCACGATTTATGTCCTTGCCCTCTGCACACAATTCGTTTCTCATGAACCGAATAAACCGTTATCAAATCGTCCTCTCCACCAGTTACAATATAACGTGAATCATGACTCCAAGCCAAACAAAGTAATGCACCAAAATACGATTTCATATAACCAATCAACTCCATCGTATGATAATTAAATACACGTAAAAAACCATCCTGCAAAGCGCATTTACTATTTTGCTGTTCGCACATTTCTCTATGCATTCAACCAATCGAATATTCAAGCAATCTAAAACTCAGTTATTAATCATCGAAATGGATAACTCTATCATTATTCCCATGTTGCACATAAACATACAACGCCCGTAATACCAGAGAATAACTACTCTACCACGATACATCATGATGATGAATCAAATCTAATTACCGGTTCTTTACTCATGTTCGCTAAACACTGAAGAATTTCAAAATCGAAAAACTATACGCAATGTGCTCGACAATGCGTGATCAAATCACATCATTCAATTATGAACAAGCACTTCATTCTTCAATTTGCACTATTCATAAAATATGGATAAAAAGTTCAATACGTACATGACTGGCAGTCGCGATATATTTGGCATCGTTATTCGGTGAGAATGCGAACTGATTTATTGAACCGGTTGATACTGACCATCTGTACAAGGGATTACGAGACGTCTTCGCTTTACAAGTGTAAACTGTATACCCATCACCCTTCAATTTACTCGTTTATTTAGATAAATACATAATGTTGCTAATGAGGACACTATCGAATCTAATAATCGATAACCTGTTTGAAGACTTGATAAGATGGTGGGCCAGGGCTACATGTTAACTCTTCATTGTACAAGTACATATTACCACTCGAATGTGATGCCAAAAAGCATTGCGGTTGGCCTGAAAACGCAACACTCAAACAATTCGAAGAGAATTATCGAAAGAAATACTTAAAAAATGGAAAGATAAGACCAGTGAATGATACTAATGAAAGAATGGACAAAAGATAAACTGAACAATTAAATGGACAAATAAATAATGAATTTAAGAATAACCTGGAACCCATTTCAGACAAGTGACCGACGTTTTATCGATGTATCGATCTTCATTATACAATCGACTCACTTGAAGTTCTTTTTGAAACGGATCTATCAATTGGATTTGCCCAGCAGAAAAACCAATTATTAAACTGAAATCGAATGGTTTCCAGATGAAGATTCGTTAATAATATGTTGACAACACAATAAACAAAATACAAAAATTGAACCTGCACGAAGTGGGTTTTGCAGTTTGTTGATTGAAATCATGCGATGTTGGGTATGTACCTTTATAAACTCGTTTATCAATCGGTTTATTCAAATCAACCGCATTTCGAACACCTCTTAAAAACACTTTGTTTGCATCAATTCATGAAACCCACTCGAAATCCGATTTTTTATCAAAAATATTCGATCACATCGGATCAAAATGATTACTCATTGTTAGTGGAAATGGCTAAATATATGAGAGATAAGAAATAAACTCAAACCGATAAACGAAAACATAAAGTTCTCGGCCAACATTAAAACAAATTCGATCACAATTCATTAAGTCAGATTCTGAATTGTTGGTTGAATCACTGTAGTGGTCATTATTAATATCAATCGACGTTGTGCATTTGTTCGGAATATCACCATTAATCAAAATATCGTTATCACTATCTGCATTATTCTTTGATGTACTCGCCGGCATCGTTAGAAATGATACACGTACCGGTGCGCTTCCAACGTTATTCATTCCCTTCAATTCATTTTTTAACATTTACACTCCTTGGTCAAGCCCTCCCCCGACTGTGATATGTCCGAGTCATGACCAACGTCGTTATACCTCACAGTCGGAAACGAGATGGCCCTGATTGGCAATCAATTTGAGCACTTTTCGAGAAGTTAAGTGCTAATGAAAAAAAAAGCACCCAAATAAAAAGAAAAGCAATCGAAAGAACGAACTTGATTCAGAGGAACTCGGTTTGGACGTGAGTATTCGGATAAAGTCATTTGCTTGTAAACACCTTCACGAGTAATAAAATGGGTTTTGAGATCGTCTTTCAAATTTGCTGATGATGTTTGATTCAATGTTTCAAGTGCATTACCAGCACCTAACTGACCACATGTATTCATAATTGGGAAATTTGCGAATTTTTAGTTGAGATTTGAATCGATTTAAACACTTCAATCATTATTATTAGTCAATAATTATCAATTAAATTTTCTGAACCGTTCACAGATTCATTTAATATGTCATTAAAATGTTATTAACTGTCATTAACTCAGTTGTGTCATTAAAATGCTTGTCACAACTGAGTTCACTATGAGAAATCATTCATATTTATATTGACTATCTTTAGTTGCATCAAACGCATAAATATATCAAATCGATATGACANTGTGTCATTAAAATGCTTGTCACAACTGAGTTCACTATGAGAAATCATTCATATTTATATTGACTATCTTTTGTTGCATCAAACGCATGAATATATCAAATCGATATGACATAATTCTTGGAAAACATTAAACTTATGAAAGAAAAAGCAAATAAATAAACTAAAAAAATAACTAACTGGATAATAATATTTATATTTAGGCTGGTCATTAACAAACATTCCGATATAACATCTCACAACAAAAACAATTTGAAGTGACAACGAACAAATTATTCGTTATATGTATGTTCAACGGTTCAACGTTTCTGTCCGCTTATCGCTTTTTTATGGTGATGGCGAAGATCGTTTGCATGAAAAAAGTACTGAAATTCAATTGATAACGTTTAAATGGTTTATCATGAAAACAATTTATACGATCATTAATGGAATCTCAGACACGTAATGGAAATCATCTGATGTAGATCTGTTTAGAGCCGTGTAGGTACTGCTGATAAGGAAACGAAAAATGAGCAGCACGTGAAGAGCAGAATTCAAAAATTCGATCAGAAATCAAGTTCGTAGCGTTCGTTCCCAGTCAATCAGCATAACCGTGTTAATGTTTCGACCTCAGCTAGTATTTCAACCTTAGCTATTTTTTAATATTTCAACGTGCTAGCTTTGATATACCTATGGATGTTGGTGCACTAACTCGGGAAATAACCACGTCATACAAATATGACCGCCTAGTGCGTTTCTAGTGGGGATAAACACCCTGCGACGAACATTTCGATAGAATAATCCGCACAATAATGAACAAAAAGAGCTTTGGCTTAT